GATAAGCGTAGGAGACGGGTCTAGGGGAGTCTGGGGAGCACAGGGAACCGCAAAATAAAGGAAGCTTGTTCTTCAAGGCACACTTGCTCTTGTTTTTCTAGTTTTATAAAGTAATGTATGAAAACATTGAAAGATAGAGACATTTATTAAAAAATACAAACGGTTCCTAGAATTCCGTAACCCAGAGAGAACCTGTTATGAATATTTTGGTACATTTTCTTAGCTTTCTGAAATCATACATGTGCACGCTCCCTTTAACATGTAACATTTTGGAGTATGTTGGAACTTGCTGTTAGTGACTGAATGAGTAGTCCATTTTGGACTGCTGCCAGCTTTGACCTTGACTGTGAGCTGGGTGCTCCCTGTGTGCCGGGCACCAGCTTTGGCTACATTATCAGTTGAATCCTCCAAACCAGTCTTTGATGTGTCATCCTCATCTCATCCCCAGGATGGCTCTGGGGACTTGTCACTGGGCTCAGGGAGGCAAGAGGCAGAGTCTGCCGCTGGTGGTGGTCCCATGCTGTCAAGGACAACCTCCACTAGCCTGAGTTCTCCCTCGGCAACACTCTCTTCTCTGATCACCCCAGCCTGCCATTCTCGGGAAGCAAGGACTTGAAAACTCCATCCTTCCTTCTTTTCTCCAGACTGCTGTGTGCTCAGACCCTCTGAAAGTGCGCCGCCTCCAGGGTCTCAGCCTGACTCCACGTTTTAGGCGAATTTGCTCAGACTATGAGGAATAAATTGTTAAATCTCAAATTCACATGAGAGACAGAATTTGTGAAGCCTTTGTTGGCTGCCCATCGGGACATGTCCAGAAGAATCCCTCTCACTCAGGGCATGGTGAGCAGCCTCTGATACCACTGTCTCCTTCGACATCTGTGTTAACTATTAAGTACCAACAGCCACCTCAGGCCGTGTGAGTGGACCCCCTCCCAGGGCCCTCTGCCCCCATCCACCCTGAGCAGGTTTTCGGGGCAGGAATGGATGGACGGGAAGGGAGTGGTGAGGAAAGGTGTGCACAGTTGTGGATTTTAGAGCTGGTGCATGTGGTGACAAATCCTTGTTCTTTGCTGACCTGGTGGGCATGGCACTCCCATTTTCCCCATCTGCAGAATGACATGGGAGCCGCCTGGTGGAGGGATTATGGACTTTTCTCTCCTAACTACCTCCTGGTCAGGGGTATGGTCCTGGCACATCATGGTGTTAGGTTGTATCTTAAACCCTGTTTAATTTTGCCTCATTTTTCCTGGTGTTTCAAACTTCTCTTTTCCAGAGTGGATAATCTGAAAGGCAGGAAGGAGGCCTGTCACCCCAGGGAGGCCAGTGGCTTGATAGACACTGTGTTTTTTTCTTTGCACATGTAAGCAGGACCCTTCAGGGTGAAGTGTCACTTTCTGTGCAGACCAGGGCCTGGCTGCTGGCTGCTGGCTGCTGTGCTTCGCAGGCTCCTTGGTGCCCTCATTCTTTCTGCATTTGCAGAGCCCCTCTGTGGCCTTCGACCCTCCTCTTGGTGTGGAACCCGTCTCGCTCCTGGTGGTCACAGTGGCAGGGTACTGAGAAGTGTTGCTCCATCCAGAGGGAGCAGCACTCAGCTCTGCTTGACCAGATGCCTCATCACACGGGTCTTAGTGCAGCACCGGTGGTGGCCTTGGGCAGCAAGAATGTTTTCCAGGAGACTTACTTGAATGAAGAAATTGCTGGGTTTTATTGTAGTCTGTAAGAGAGAAAATTGAGAAGTAATGGCAAATCCATGTATTTAGCAGGGACCTTTCTGGGCCCAGCTCTCGGCTGATGGTGTGTGTCATTGTCTCAGGCCCCCTCTGGTAGGTGCAGAGCCCACGGTCCCGGGTAGCTGCCAGCGTCTGATGTGCAGACCCCATTTCCTAGCAGCTCTGAAACACAAATGCTAAAGTTTAGGAAAAGTCTAAGCCTCTTTCTCTGCTCCGAGATTCACGTTTTAGTTCTGCAGCTTCCCCTGCGCATCCTTTTCCCGTCTAGACGTACGTACTTGATGTAGACTCGCCTTCGGGTTGATCTTCTGCGGCCCTGCTAGTTTTAAACTAACACTAATGGGGCCTCAGTTTCTGAATCAAGTTGGTTTTGATTGTCCAGCCTGTGGCCCACGTAGGCTGAGGTCAGGGCACATTAATGTTTGATGCCAGGTCTCCTCCCCAGGTCAGAAGGAACACCTGACCACAGTGTCCACAGTTTCTTTTATTATTATCATTATTTTAATTGACATAATAATTGGACCTGTTTATGGGGTACAGTGTGACATTGCCGCAACGTGTGCCCCTCACATCGCGGTAATTAGCACCGTGAACTGTTGTGATAGCAACGTGTGATTTCTGACCGAACAGTGCATGAGATCCTGCATGTTGAGTAGCAGTAATATTCCTTCCCCTTCCTGAATCACATCTGCATGAGGGGCCTCTGAATTTCTAGGCTGTGCGTGGACTGTAGGTCTCGGTAAAGGGCAGCTGAGCCCCAGCACAGGCCGCAGGTAGGTCCTCTGGGATGGGCTTATTTCCCTTGAGGCCTAGTGTGGCCCCGTTTTCCAGGAGGGATCAGCTCTCAGTCACTTGCCTGTGCTCACAGCACTTCTTTCCCTTGGTGACATGCGTGGCTGTCGCCTGCCACCTGCACTGCTTTGAGGGCCACTTCCCCTGCCTGAGCTGGGTACCAGGCTGTGCAGAGCCTGGCCTGCCTTTGCCAGCTCACACCTCTCACTTGGGCCTCTCCGCACTTGTTCATGGAGTGGCTGCAAGTGTGTGTCAGGAGGAAGACCCTGGTTGTTGCTGGGCAAGGTCCCCTTCCTCTCCACCCTGTGGAGGCTGATGAACCTGAGGACAAGGGGCCACGCGCACTGCATGCAGCGGCTGCTCTTATGCTCCCCATAAAGAAACGGGGGTGGAGGATGCCCCACAGCTGGTGAGGGATGCACGAGGGACCCCACAGCTGGAGTCTTGACCCATGCACACTGGCTCCCTTCCCTGGCTCTGAGGAGGTGGGAAGATGGGGTGGAATGAGGCTTTCAGGGACCCGGGTTTGGACCTCGCCTACTAGGTGACAGCTGTGTGACTCTGATCAGGTATGTGAGCTGTAGCCAGGCTGGGACAGGTATCAGGGTTCCCAGCCTGGCTACAGCTCAGGAGCCAGCTCTCCCAGAGCCATGTCAGGTGGTGCCTAGAAGCTCGGGAGGTCGGGCAGTGAAGTCTGAACTATGGTCAGACTCAGGAGACTCGATCCCTTCTGCCCCCCGCCCCCATCCCCAGGCACACAGGGAAGTGACAGCCTGTCTCTTTCTCTGGTACCTTCCTCTGTCACACCAACTGCTCATTCTGCTGAGCTGCTTATGTCTATGGATGTGAGGAGAGAGATAGGGAGTGGACAAGACAGTGGCTTTGCCACAGCACTCAGCACCGCAGCACATGTGGCTGCATGACACGGTTCCCTTTGGGAGAGGTCATCGGCCAACTTGAAACAAAGCCAGGCCGGGGAGCCCTGTGTCTGCCTCACACGCTGGCAATTCAAACCCTGCCTTTGAAGGGAATATCAGTGTGAATCTCACGCTTACAGGGACGATGTATTTGCTGTTCAAACTGTCGGGAAATCATTGTTGGGTCTGAATTTTCAGACTACGTCATCGGTAAAAACATTACCTTGATAGCCTGCAGCAGGCTTTTCTAAATGCTCAATCATGAGAATTAGTTAGGGCTGGGTGTCGTGGCTCACACCTGGAATCCCAGCACTTTGAAAGGCCAAGGTGGGAGGATAGCTTGATACATGGGCAACATAGTGAGCCCTCATTTCTACCACATATATGAAAAAATGAGCCAGCATTACAGTGCATGCTTGTAGTCACAGCTACTTGGGAGGCTGAGGCAGGAGGATCACGTGAACCCAGGAGTTGAAGATTATAGTGAGCTATGATTGCATCACTGCTCTCTACCCTGGGGGACAGAGTGAGATCTTACTTCTTTTTTTAATTTTCCTTTTTTTTTTTTTTTTTT